CAGGTGGAATGTTGGAACACTATTTTAATCTAATTAGATAAATTTATAAAAATATATTTATATGCATATATAAATATTTGTATATATGTATATTTAATTTGTGCATCAATTGCTTCATACAAAACATTTGAATTTTTTTTTTTTTTTGGTTTTTAATTTTTCACAAAAATTCCAAAATACGTACGGATTAATTAGATTTTGCAATATTGTATAAATTTTGTAACACTTGAACTGGTTGTAGCAACATAGCAAGGTGCATGCACACACCTCACTCCCCACCGAAGTTAGAATCTAAGCAACGTATTGCTGCTACTGCTGCTGCTGTTACTGTTGCTGTTGCTGTTGTTGCTGCAATAGTTTATGCTCATTCGCAACATATGAATGGATGGATATACCGTTTCTACTTATTGTACAATATAATTTACAAATATAACATATATTTGTATACATACATACATACATATGAATGTATGTATGTATGTTAATATGTATATATGTGCATTTATAGTTTATAGTTTTATGCATATATCACCTTTGGTAAATAATACTAATTGAAATCAAAATCCGTAACGCGGTGGGAAAAATTGCGAAAAGAGAACGAATGAACGAACGAACGAATGACTTCAAAACAAACAACAAATAGAAAGCTAGCGAGCGAGCGTACAGACTTATAATAACGTCTGCATCGGTCACGAAACGAAAACACACTGCCAACGACAGACTGACTGAATGCTTAAGCCCGTGGTGTCGCACTAAAAACTGCAACTTCCCTTCCTCTTCGGATTCCCTCTAAATCAGCACCACGCATCTTTGCGGACGGTGAACTACGATTCCTCAAGGCTACTGATTTAGGCCATAAAAGCCAAACTGATCCAAGCCAACATGCCATGCCAACAAGCTCAGCTAAGCGGCGCAGCGCAACAAAACTAAAATGAGTAGCAATTATTGAGAAACTAAACATATACAAACACATATACACACACACACATAATCCATTATAGACGAATTACTTTGCATTAGCGTAGCGGAATGGGTTAAAATAAACCTACATAAGCATTCACTGCTGCGCCAGCTACCATGTTTCAACCAAATTGGTTGCAACTTTTTGGCTTTTTGTGTGATTCTTGTTTTTTGCAATCATTTATTACACCACCCCCTTTGTTTCCGCGACATTACACATGTTTATGACCCATATGCATTAGCAATTCGAGTTCTTAAGAACCTAAATGCCAAAGGTCTAAAGTCTTTCATATTTTTTTGGTCATCGTATGTTCGTGATCCTATATGTGGAGTAATCAAATAAACAAATTTTTATTATTCGCTACCAGCGATCTTTTGATAGCATCTGATATTATTCCATAATTACAAAATGCAACAATATTTTCACTTAACAAAATATAATGGATATATAATGGTTCAAAATATATCGTATGGGAATATACAATTTAATAATAATAAAAAAAGTAATAATAAAAAAATAATTATTAAAAATAATAATAAAGAATAAATAATAAAAAATAATTATAAAAAAATAATAATAAAATAAAATAAAATTTAATAAAATAAATTTTAAAAAATTATAAATAAAAAATATATTTAAAAATATAATAAAAAAAATATAAAAAATAATATCAAAAAAAACATAAAAAACACTAACAAAAAAAATAAAAAAAATAATAATAAAAAATATTAATAAAAAAAAAAATTAAGAAAAATAATATTAAATCAAATCAAAAAATAATTAGAAAAAATTATTAAGAAAAAATTATTACGAAAAAATTATTAAGAAAAAATAATAAAAAAAAGAATGAATATAAAAAAAAAAATAATAAAAAAAAAATGAATCAAAAAAAAAATAATAATAAAAATGAATCAAAAAAAATAATAAAACAAAAAAATTAAAATAAAGAATAAAAAATATATAAATAAAAATATAAAAAAATATAAAAAAAATTAAAAAATATAAAAAAAAATATATATAAAAAAAAAAAGAACATAAATAGTATTAAATGGTTATTACGAACTATATATCAAAAAGTTTTATTTTCATCAGGCTTAAGGTAATAAGAATACTTATTAAAATATTTTAATAAACTATTTATAATACAAGTATTATTTTTTGAAATATATTATAAATTTGAACACAAATTAATAAAAGTTCTTATTATCATTTTTAAGTATTAAATAACCAATCTTACGCCCGGTAAAAACAAAATTTATAAAAAAAAAAAATTATAGATTGGTTGATATTCTATTGGATATTGGATATTCTAATGGATACAGCACTTTCCAATCACGTGCTGTCCTTCAAAGTATAGCAGAGTTGTTAGATGGTGCTCGCTTTCTCTCATGGAGGAAACTATATCCAAACGTATAGCTTCAATCGGTACTGGTACAATTCATTAAATTGTAATGCGGTAGTTTATCGGCGCATTATATTGATACAAAATCACCAAACAGGAACTTTAAAGGCAGGTAATCAAGTTAAAAAAACATATGTGTGTTAGTGAAAAAGTAAGAGTGTATGCAAAAAACTTGCTAAAGTCTGAAGACAGTGTTTATTTATTTAACTAAGACATTTATTCATATGTTATTAAAAAAACACTTGACAAACTTGCGAATAAGGGCGCTTTAATTCCCTTAAATTATCTGACTGCATCAGTTTTAGAAACAACTAAAAAAGACTTCAGGAATATAGTTCTATAGCACAATGATAATTAAAAATAATATACTGTTACTGAACAATTAAAAATATGCTTTTTATTCAATGAACTTATACTGGACAATGAACTTATACTGGACGAAACTTTTGTTTATAATTTTAGCTGTCAAAAATTTGCATTTTGCCTTAAAAGCAACAATTGACAGCTAAAATTACAAACATGACAGTTAAAATTACAAACAAAGCTCTCGTGTAAATCCAGTATTAGGGTATTATACGGAAGGAATCTCAATTATGCATTCTCATATCATAATTGCAGCTGCATTCAGTAATACGAAGCATCAAAATCAAAATCAAGATCAGAATTTGGCAATATTACAAAAGCACAAAAGAGAAAAATAAAAGAGTAAAAACATAAGGATTTGTCTTCTTTTCTTGTGCTAGTGTGCTTTCAGAGAGTTTGAAAACAACAAACACATATACAACAGTAACAACTTAAGATGGTTGAGCAGTTAATGAACATTACCTCGCGTATTGTTTTCACACGACACAAACAATCTAAATTACTAAAAATATGTTCACACGATAAATCTTAATTTTGTTTCCTTAGTTGCGGTCGCAAATGAAAATGTCGATCGTTGCAGCAGTATTATATATTAATTCACAAAAAAAAATTTTCATTCATGATGTGTAATTGCATTATCGCTACATAATTCGATTATTGTAAATCACAAAATTAATTTTAATATAGTTTTGTATAAATAAAAATTATATTAAAATAAAGTTGGTTGTCGAATTTTATAAGGATATCAGATTTCAATTTTAAGTTGATTTTATAAACAAACCATCTAATCGAGCCGAACGTGTACAATCAAGAATAAACTTAAGATTCTTTGGGCCGTATGAATAGTTATTAGTCGCATACTAAGATTCCAAATTCTTATTATGTTTGTATTAATGTATGTATGTATATTTATTTTCATTTTAAATTTCATTTTTACAGTGTGATTAGTGAATCGTAAATTAATATATAAATAAATATAATTAAAATAGCGACTGTGACACAACGTCGTCCATCGATTTTAATTCTTATTAATACAATTAAGCAAAGAAAAATCTTTTTCGGTATTTTAAAATTATATATCTGGACATCGAGTGATTATAAAAGTAATTAATATAGTAGAATTGGGAACTTATTCTACATATACTGAATGAATGCATCAGTTTTCGGCACTTAAAGGATTAAACCAAAGAAAAAAATTGTTAGTGTTTTATTTTTTTTTATATAGTTATTTTTTATATGTATGTCGCGTATGTCTAGAAGTTTATTTCGCTTATTCATCAGGGCGGAGTATTATCACAACTGATTATGAAATAATATAAGAAGTTTTTTCCACTGAAACAGCAATCTGTTCACAGATTTAGTTGTAATTTCGCTCATAACTTAGTGATTTAATAGAACATTGAATAATATGATGTCGAAGATTTTATATGGATTAATGAATCAATAACTATAAAACTAGCCACAATAAACTATCTAAATAGCATCTTAGTTCAGTAAATCGTATAAATAATAGACACATTTTAAAAAAGGTAAATTATATGTTGACGTTTATTTTTGACATAATAATTATAATAAACATGTTATATATACACCAAGGATGATTTCATGTTCATAAAGCATAATATATAAATCCAAACATCTATTATACATTAAGACCGAAAAGTTTTCGGAAATTCTCATTTAAAATTCGCGCGCTGTATATTTTTCGATATTTTAAGTTTATGTAGTTTGGCAGCACTGTCCTTAATTACTATGCCAAAAATGAGCGCGATCTGTCAGACAGTTCGTTTACGGCAGCTGTTGAAACCAGTTCACCTCAGTAGGGCGTTGCGAAAAAAACAATGGAAAAAAATATTGAACAAAGAGTTTGCATCAAATTTTGTGTTTCGAACGAAATTTCGTGTGCAGAATCGTTGCGAATGCTACAAAAGGCTTATGGGGAATCAGTTTTATCGAAAACTCAAGTTTATGAGTGGTACAAAGCCTTCCAGGACGGTCGTACGACCGTCGAAGACATTTCGCAACGCACTACTGAGGTGAACTGGTTTCAACAGCTGCCGTAAACGAACTGTCTGACAGATCGAGCTCATTTTTGGCATAGTAATTAAGGACAGTGCTGCCAAACTACATAAACTTAAAATATCGAAAAATATACAGCGC